GTATATGCCAAAAGGCCCACTTCTCATATTTAACCCAAGTTTGGTTTCAAGTAACTAAGTTTAAAAGAAGAAAAAAAATTGCGTGTTTTTTAAATTATTTTAAAATTTTTTATTTGTTTGCTTGAATTTTTTTATTTTATATTTTTTTGATAAATTAATATTAAAAATATTTAAAAATATATATTTTCTCAATATATTTATAAATAAAAAACATATCAATAACTTTGAAGTCAAATAATTATAAAATTGCATCGATTGCATCAGTCATCATTGGAGGCAACAATGAAGCGCAGTGTGTCCGTAATGCCCTTGTAACTTTGAATCATAGAATTGGAGAGGTTGAAAAAATAAAATACAAGAATGAAAGGCAATATCATGAGACAGTCATCTACTTGATATATCATTATCAATGAGTGGTTGGGTTAAGAAAACAAAATATCTAAACTTCTTTGTATTATTTTTTTTTAATTTATATGGAATATCCGAGTTAACTTGCGTGTGTCTTGACTAATTTTTACAGATTCTAAAATTAACAACCATGTAAGCTTTTAGTAGCCATCAATATTAACAATCACAAGAAAAATAAATTTTTCAGTCCCAAACTTTTATCATTAGATCACCTACTAAATAGTTATTTTATATAATTTCTTTCTTGTATGAGTATTGTTCATTTATTTATTTTAATTTTCGTAGTAATTCTTTTAGGTAAGTGGTTGGGGAAGAGTGTGGGATGTAATTTATATTGAGGGGAAAAATAGGGTAGCGAATTAATATTTGACTTTTTTGATAATGGACACATTTTGGGTAGAACAAAACGCAAAGGAGGATGCCCATTGTGGGATGGAGGAAGCAGTACTTAGATTGCTTGTAGATCCTAAGTTGCAAATAATTGGCTTTCTGGTGATGGTTGAAAACTTGAACCTTGGGTTCATTCCTTCACCATGCTATAGACGTTACAATCTTTGTGTCAATGGTATAATAGTTTCCCTTTCTCCTCTCCTTTTTTCCAAGTGGCAAAGTAGAATTGGTCAATAAAGAACTAGCTGAACATTTAATTGCATTGAATTAAATATTTGATGCAAGAAGTTTTTTATTTTTGCATATCTGAACTCGCTTGATCCTTTCTGCCAAAACATATATATTATTTGTTTTTATAAGAATATTAAAAAATAATATAAATTATATTATATAATTTTATCTAACATTTTAATTTATTGATTTAAAATAATTTTTTAATATAATATTAAAATCTTGATAATCAAGCAATCATGAATTTAAATCATATTTAATATCTTACCTTATAATTTAAATTATTATATTAAATTAAGATAATACATATTTTATTTTGATAGTATCTTATTCTTGATTTGATATGTGCCTCTCAAATTGTTTGTGTTTTTATTAACGTTAGCTTCATCATAACATGTGTGTCTTGCTTTTAACTTGATTGGAAATGCTTACGGGACTTCCTTAACTTGTCGCTTTTCCATTGGGGTGTAAAACGTCAAATTGTCTTGTTAGGTAAGTTGAAAATTAGAGATTGAAATAGGAAGTGAGAAAATATATAAACAATAAATAAAAGTGCAAATAGAGAGAGAAATTAAAAGAGACGGTTCTGTAGAGGGAGAGAAAAATAGTAAATTTTGGAGTCAATTTCAGAATCATTAAGACACTAAACTTCATTTGATAATGTCAGTATCAGAATCTCTTTTAAGGTGTTATATGTTCTCCAAGTAATATCTTTGCTGACTGGACAATAGTATAGTGCTGAAGTTGGTTCTAGGTGTTAGGTTTGAGGGTGATCTCTCCATTGATGCAGTCGCTAATTGGCTTGCAACAACAGTGCTGAGTTTACCTTGCTTTTTGTACTATTCAGCGGAATCACTGGTAATTCAAGGCACTCACTATCATAATTATTTTAGATGACGTTTTGTTTTTCCTTCTTTCGATATTAGGGATACTCGATGTATTTCTACTATTTTGGCAGAAGAAAAAATCAATGGATGCCATGTAAAAATCAATGAGCTGAGGATGGATCTTCTTAAGGTTGAAGATTGATGATTGGATGGAGTGAATTTGAGTCCCCGGTCCCCTTCTTGACTATGACTAATGGAGATGTGGTTTGATAATGCACCGTTTCCTGTCCTTAGTAGCAGTGATCATTGTTAGTTCTTTAAAATTAATACTTTTCTTGAAGGTTTTAGTCATCTAAACATGGTGTTTTAGTAGGGATCTTCATGTGAGAAGAAAGAGAACACCTCTTGGTATATTAATATTACTCTCCTTTCTTTCTTTTTCTCTTACAAGTGGGAATCCTCCATCGGTGTTCGACTGTGGTTGGATGGGAAGCTTTGCATCCATCTCGGCTGGTTTGATTCAAGCATCAAGCTTAGTACATAGCCATCACGGGGTTAAAATCTGTCAGGGTGTACGCTAATGAAAAGCATTGTTGGATAGTAGCTACGGGATGGCAGCTCGTGTGACAGTAGCAAAAATCGACAATGTATGTGCAGCAGCACACAACAGCTAGTGCAATAATATGCTAATGAGTATTGAGACTTATGCGAGGATTGTCCAGGGCTTGACGAAACAGTGCTAGGGTGATATAATGAGACGGTGGGGAATTCAGCAATACTGATGAGATCAACAACGTCGACAAAATCAACAACAAAAGCTGATGATAAGACTGGACAAGAGGCAATCCTAGACTTGACGTAAACACTACTGGTAGGAATGGCAACATGCATCAACAGTGGCATCATGCATGAGTGTTGGTAAATTTGGCAGTAGTGTACGTCAACGATTCAGTAGGGCATGGTTAAAGTTCGGCAACAAATCCAAACTTGGATAGCGGACGATCCAAAGTATGCGAAGTAGTTATACTGGCAGCATGTGTGCTAACAGTGGACAGTTGACCTATAAGAAAACATGTCAATGCAGTTACAGTAGTTTTTGGAGCAATTATTGGCAATTGCAGTAGTTTTTTATGTGGGAAAAAAGTGATCAGAATATGGAATAATGGGCCACCTGTGCAGGAAGTTAGGGATAGTTTCTTTATGTAACTTCTATTGTCTTGTACATTGGTAGGTTGTAAAAACGTGTAGCATGTAAACTGAGGCAGATTGGAAATGTGCAATAGCACATAAGATGGACCTTTTGTAATCCTATAGTTGAGTTAATGAAAAGGTTGAGACTTATTCCTATAATTTATTGTGTTCTATATTTTGTTTATATTCATTAGTGTTATTTCGCTTGCTTGTAATATTAAGGATACCAAGAGTTTATAAGACAAATTAGTCGTAGGTAAAACATGAGTGAATCGATGAGGAAAAAGCTGAGGCTAGAAGGTCTAAACTATATTGTGATGATGTGTGTTTTTATGTTAAAAAATTGACCCGTAACAATAGTCATGTTGATGGAAATTGAATCTTCTTTTTCACCATGCATTGTATTCTTTTCTTCTTCTCTTATTATTTTTTATTTTTCTAGTTCTAGGTTTTAATCATTTATAATCATTTAACTTTTTTGTTTTATAAATTATCCTGAGATTTTGTTTTCGTTGTCATGCCAAGTATTGATTCCAGTCCTGCCAATGACATTGAAGAAAGCACTTGATTAGTCAACTTGAGAATATCATCAAGCACTTATCTAAATTTGATGAGTCCACTTGAGAAGCCGATAGTGAAGTCACATTTGATCCATAATTTTGGCTGTTAGCCCTTTAATATTACCCTCCCCACCTTGAGAAAATAGCTATTTCCAATCAAAAAAAAAATTTTAAAAAAAAAAAAACAACTTATTCATCATAAAATTGCAATAAAAAGAAATTAATCATTGTAAAAATTGCTAATCTTGAGAACTATATTTGCAGATATTTTAAAAGCAAAATCATTCGAACTCCTCGCCCTTATTTGCAGTCCCATCAATCTTTTTAAGACCAATTGATACAAACTCATAGTAATGATGAATTCTACTATACTTCAATCACAAATTTCGTGCGAGTAATAAGTTGTTACGCTTTGGTGGGATTTTATAAGAACTCCTCCTTCCTTTAGCAATCTAAAATTTAAGGCTACATAAAAAAAAGTTTTTTATAATTTTTTATTTAAAAATATATTGAAATAATATTTTTTTATTTTTTAAAAAATATTTAAAAATATAAAAATAATAATTTAGAAAAATCAAAATGGAGAGAAACGCTTCATTCCAAACGGCCTTTGAAGTCTATTCCTTGCTGCCTAATTTAATACCAAGTCTTCCCAGTGGTCATAATTCTTCAAAGGAAGATTTTGGTAGTTACATGTTAGTTTCTAGTGGTTGGATAGGGATGGGAAATATGAAGTTAATCTTTAAGCAAATCTCAAAATATCAGGTCAAAATATCATTAGTTTCTATCTATTGTTTGTAGAATCCTTTAACTCACTTGGTAAGTGATAAATCGTTCTCATCTACACAATTCAAACAAAAAAAAAAAAAAAAAATCTCTGCTTCTTGTCATGGAGAAGGCAGCAAAAAACATTAGAAGATCAATCCACACCTTGCTGAAAGATTTCCACTATTTCACCAGCGTCCCAGCAATCCTATTGCTTCCATTCTCATCTTCAATTCTCGTCTCACTATCCTTCTATCAACCTTGTTCACTGACCAGATCAATTTTTCAAGGCAAAAGAGTTTCTCTTCCTGTTCTAGATCTTCCTCAGATGATATTTGTCCTTGTTTTTAGTCTTCCACTTGCACTGTCCTCTCTTGTCCTAGCAAAAGCATCCATCATTCAATCTCTAAATCACCATAAACATGTTTTTTCACTGTCTTGTTCGTCTCCTGTGTCACTTTGTTACATGCCTCTAGTCTTAACCTGCATTTGCAATATAATCCTTACTGTAACCATTACCACGACAACCTTGTCGTTCCTTGTCGAAGCCTCTAGTTTCTTTAAAGGTCTATTGATTCTATCATCCATCAGGCCTTTCTTCGATCTGGCAGCGGGGATTGTTTTCTACATGGTTTTAACCAATACCATGGTCACGTGCAATTTAGCCCTGGTTGTTGCAGGTATTGATAATTGCACTATATACAAGTCTCTTCGTAAGGCTTGCTTGTTGAGAAAGGGTACAGATTCAATGGCTTTGTTGTTGGCTCTTCCCATAAATCTAGGTCTCGTTGCTACTGAAGCCTTGTTCCGATACCGGGTTGTAAGAGCTTATGATCCTGTCTTTGGAAGGTTTAGTGTGCCTATGGTCTTGGAGGGATTGTTGATTGCTTATCTGTTTTCCCTTCTAGTAGTTCTTGACACAATTTCCAGTTACTTGTTTATCAGGAATTGTGATCCAAAAATTGGGAGAGAAGGAGCAGAAATATGTGTTCAAATTGAGCCTGTCAAAGATGACAGTGGGATTTCTGATGGTTCACAAGGACTAGAGATGGTGTTCGTAGACTGAGTTTTTATGGACCAACAAAGTTACTCTCTGAATTGTACATGGGCTGAGATTTTGAGAAAGCTCATTCATTATTTACACCATGTGTTCTTGCCAATTCATCAGGGAAAAAAAAGGCCTCTCTGTTATCATTTCGATCAATGGAACTCCTGTATTTTCAATTTCAATCAATTGAGTACAATTTACCAGAAAATCAATGAAGATACTGCTCAATGAGGGTGAGGATGGTGGGAGTGAATGATAAGACAGGGTTAAGGGCCTCCCAGAAGCTTCCTTCTCTATTTGGCAAAGAGGGATGCAAGAGTTAAAAGGAAAGACCTTACACATGAATCCTATCAGAATAAAGTTTCATGTTTTGGAACTGCCAATTCCAATCAAATCATATAGATCCGTAAATAGATTTGTACATATAGCCACTTGCTAGTTGTTTCTCGGTTGTATCTTTTTTCAGGGAATATGGCTCGCAATTCTTCCTCCACTGAAGTAGAAAATGCTCAAGTTTTCCGTTCTCAAATGAGGTCGGAAACTTATCAGCAACAAGTCGACACGAAGTGATTCATCATGCTGAAACATGAGCCGATCGAGATTCCAACATGCATAATCAGAAGGAAAAAACTTTCACATGGCAATAGCAAACTTCGCTTTACCCTTCCTATAAGAGAAGAGAGCTTAGGATACTTTGATTGAAGAACTTTGACTGTTATTTTACTCATCTGTAGAGATAGGGATCTGTTCGCCTTCAAAGTAGAATTCAACTATAACTAGGATCTCATGGAAAGAGAGTGGAGTGACTGAATACTATACTCCCAGTCACTCCACCATGTTCGTTCATGAGGATGGTGACAGTGAGTGATGATATTAACGAAGAGTACAAGGTAATTTAACGATAATGATTCGAATAGAGGAGAAGACTCCTTATTTGGCTGCATAAATTTCTAATTTTGGCAATTTTTACTCAATTAGCTGAGATAGAAAATACAAAAGGCTCATTTGAATAATTAACAATAGAGGAGCTCTTTCGACAAATTGGTGAAAACACAATATGCAAGTAACGAGTTCATAGCTCCGAAATTTTATTTCAATTACGCAACAGCCGATCCAAAAATAAGTAAAAGCATAATGGATATCACATTAAAGACAATGTAAGATTTCACTTTTTTATCTGATGACAACAAATCGCGGTTGTATAGGTTAACTCTTCATGTTTAAGTTGCACCCCACTAGATTCTATGTAGAGTTTACAGCGTGGCGAGTTTGCCCAGTTAACATCTCGGAACTCAGTGCTTAGGGAGCTAGGTTTTACTCACTTTCAAGCTCCGTTTCTTCATTCCTAGATCTCACGCAAGCCTTATTGCCCCTCATTTCTTTTGCCAGCTCTTGTATAGAACAAGAAGTGCCTCGCTCCATTTTACCTGCAAGTATCTCGATGTGATCCAGGAGTCCAAACCCTATTAGCCGGTTTCTCAACATCTCAACGGTAGAAGCATATGGCGGTATTCCTTCGTCAATCATTGTCTCAAAGTATCTGCATGCCTCCTCTAGTTTTCCCTTCTTCTTGCACAAACCATGAATCATGACAGCATAAGTTGAGACTGAAGGATAAAATCCCCTCTCGCCCATGCTCTCCCAAATTTCAATTGCTCTATCAAATCTTCCTACTCTCACAAGCAATTTTAGCAACATGTTGTAACTATGCCGATCAGGCAAGCAATTATCTTTAACCATTCTAGATATCAACTTGGTTGCCCTATTAACCTCTGAGTGCTCACAATGGTAAGCTAAGATTGTATTGTAACTCCATGCATCTGGGCTAACTCCCCTCTCAATCATCTCATGCAAAAGTTGATAAGCATCTTCCACCTTTCCATTCTTGCAAAGTTTCTTGATAATACAATTATAAGTGAAGACATTTGGTACGAGATCGTATCTCTTCATTCTATCGAGCACACTGAAAACAGAATGAATATTGTTTGCCTCGCAATATGCACGAATAAATATGGCATAACTACATGCATCAGGCTCAACTCCATGTGAAGCAATTTCTCGAAACATCTTATACGCTTCATCAACATTCCCTCCCTTGCACAAAGCTTCTAACAAGCTATTATATGCAAGCACATCCAAGGCACATCCTCGGCCAAGCATCTCATCAAACACCTTACGCGCTGCTACTGCTTCCCCAATGTCACCCCACCCCCTCACCAAAATGCTATAAGTTTTTGCTTTAGCCTCGAACTTATGCTTAACTCTATCAAAAAACTGCTGGGCACATTTCACATGCTTGCATTTGCATAATACATATAAAAGTTTATCAAGATCATCAACACTGGGCCTGAGACCAAACTCAGCCATTCTATCAAACGCACGAATAGCATCACTTGGCAAATTAGCTCTGCTATAAGATCTAAAAACAAGCCAAATAATTTCTTGGTTTATCTCGAAATCATGAGATTCTCTCATTTCAATCAAGAAATCCCATAATATTGCAAACTGCCTGCTAGTACCTAATATATCCACCAAAATGTGATAGCTCTCTTTGCTATGTTCAAAACCTGGAATCCTTTTAGCCCAAAGAAAGAATCTGTGGGCTGAGAACCCAAGATTCTTGCAACGTTTTAAGACTTGTTCTACCAAGTTTGTGGATATTTTTGAAGAGAATGCGGTTAGAGAGGTCTCCAAGTCATGGTGGGGGTTTCGTTGGTCGCTGAGAATGCGAGATATCTCGTTCACAAGGCCTGGTAATGGTGGATTTTGGTTTAGTGGAGTGAGAGTAGAGAGAGGATGGCCATGACTGTGGGATTTGGAGGTACAGCGAGACTGGAAGAGAGAGTGTAAGGTTCTCGTTTTTGAGGTGAGGAATCTCATGGCCATTTCTTCTTCATCGAACAGTGCTTTCGTGGTGCCTGAAGTCGATAAATTTTTAGTATTTTTCTTTTTTCTGTGTGAGTTTTCCATGTTGGACTTGGACCTGGAGATGAAAGCCCATTGACTCATTAGTCTTAATTATTTCTTTTGAACCTTTCTCTTCTCAAATCCACCAAACTCCTGCCTAAATAAATGTCTTTGCTTGGTTAATTATTATCCATATCCTATTTTAATTAGTGTTATACTATATTGTATCCCGTGCAATAACGCAGGTAAAACCTTTTTCAACATAAAAAATAATATTATAAAACAAATTCGAGTGATTAGTTCAACTAATAATTTAAATAATATAATTAAAAAATGCATCTATTAAAAATAAACATATAAAAAATAACAACAAAAAAAATTGATATGAACCAAATCAAGATGATGAAACATACTGGAAGGTAAAATTAAAAAAAAAATAATGTAAACTTTATAATTATATATTAAAATAATCTTATAAAATATTGAAAAAAAAATATGGGTTTTAAATTAAATATATATGGAGCTCCTGATGGATAAGCTCTCCTATTAGGTTTTTTAATGTTATTATATGGATATTTATAATATTAAAAAATAATATTTAATATTTAATTTGTTAATGAGATTAATTTGTTTTAGTTTATTTTTTTTAATTTTTATAATTAATCTTAATATTCATGACTATTTAGATAAAACTAAATATCACCTATTTAGTTTAATTTAAAATATAATTGTTATATTAAAATTCATATAATATTTTTATATAATATTTCAAATTTATATAAACACATTACTACACCACAAACAATATATACAAAAATATATTCTTTCATCTGTTTTTTTTATTATTCTTTCAAAGATTTAAAGAGTTTAATTATATTATTTATCTATTGTCTGTGTATATAACAAATAAACATCTTAATCTTAAAAATAATATTTTATACCCCTACACCAACTCTTTATTTTTGTTACAATATATACCCAATTAGTTTACTAACAATTTAGACCAACGTACGCACGTCCAGCATATTTTTTCCAAATTCATAGAGAGAATAGCAAAATAGATAGTTTTGTTAGGTCGCATCACCAACACAAGGAGATCCACTAGTAAAAGAGAGAGGAGAGATCTCAGCGGGAATCTCAGGTGTAAAAAAATATGGATTTCATATAGTGAAAAAAGGGAATGAAGAACATCTCTTTACAATTGCTCCGATTCCATTTTTACTTGTTATTTTGAGTAATCCTGCGCAGAGTAAAATAGAAAGAAAGAAGGCCTTTGTTGACCTGTTTGCCAACAATGCCAATGAGGCTTTCTAGCTCGAAAGGGGAACCGATGAAGAGTACTTTCTTTGTAATGGGAAGGTTGCAGCCTCTGTCAAGCTCAGGATAGAGGTTGAAGAACAACCGTCTTCTCACTTTCACTTCGGCTTAAGCATTCTTTTCCTAGAGAGAACAGTTACTCGGGGGTTAGGATTTCATGTTTCCACCAACTCCATTCCTCAGCAAAGCAAGCCGATCAGCGCAGGCAAGCCACAAAGGGGAGGTGTTAGCTGACAAGCCCTTCTTCGTTTGAAGGGTCAATATTCAAAATAGAAGGAATTGAATGGCATCAAGTAATCAATAAGGAGGAAGGGACTTCCTACCAAAAAGGTCGTCTAGTCTATGAAGCTGAAAGCCAAGGATGTTAACTCTAAGAAGTTTAAGCCAGCCTCGAGAAAGAGAAGTTGAAGATTTTTTTTTTAATTAGTATGAGTATCTGCGTTAGCTTACATGCATCACGATTAATCTTATAAATCCTAAAGTTAACGACCATATAAATCTTCAATGACCATCATATAAGTAACTAAGGACTCGAATTTAAAATCATATAAAAAATAAATCTCTTAATCCTAAATTCGTATTATTCATGAAGTTGAAGATTTTTTACGAGGAAGGTTATCACTTTGTTTTCTTTTCTTGTATGAGAGCAAGCCTGCCTTAAAAAAAAAAAAAAAAAAAAAAAAGGTTAATTCTGTTTATCTTTATGAATGGTATTAAACCTGGTGGATGGACCTCCTAAGGGTGACTTTGGCCGTAAGGAAATCTCAAAGATGGATTGGTTGTGCCTATTTACCATTGCTCACCTTGTTTTCTCCCTTCTTTAAATTCACGATTTCAACGATTTGTTCCTTCATCCCAGACCTCGAAAGCGTTGATCTACTGCACTGACATGTACTTGTCCCTAATGCATAATCAGAAATGGCACATAAAATATTCTCATCACTGAGACGATTCTGCCAAAAAATAGAAAAAATGATCTAGATCGCTTGTTTCCTCGATGACTTCTGTTAATTATGGAAATGTCAGTCAGGTGGGAAATTCAAATCGTGGGAGCTCCAGAAGTTGGTTTAGATTGTCGTTGGCATCGTAAAAAAGGTTAGTTATGTGATGATATAGTTTTATAACGTGGGTTGATTGAAAAATTAAGTTTGAATGTAATTTTTATGGAGTAGTTTTTATATTATTTTTTAATTGAGTTTTGTTAAATTTTATTTATTTTTGTGTTTTAAAAGTATTTTTTAAAAAAATTAAAAAATTTTAATTTTTTACTTCAAAATAATTTATTTTTTTAGATTATTTTAATGTGTTATATCAAAATTAATTTTAAAAAATAAAAAAATTATTTTAATATATTTCTAATTAAAAAATACTTTTATAAAATAATCACAATAAAATATTTTTTTTTTTGTTACATATAAATCCCAACATTATTTTTACCAAATATATATTCAAACTTAAGTAATCATACTTTTTTTAAAACTTAATTTTTTTAAGCCATAACATAAAAACTATTTTAAAAACAAATATACTCATAATTGAGAAAAAAGAGGTGAGGTAGTGGCTGGTTGCGTCTAAGCACTGCGAATGATTTTTAATATTCTTAGGGATTTTGATGATAGTTCCTTCTTCAGCGAGCTTGGGATTGGCTACTGCGGTTTCTTCTTTCCTTCCTCTGGAAATAGCTGCAGTTAGGCCTGAAAGCCTTCATCGAAGAGTCGTGAACAAGCGAGAGACGAAGAAGTTCCGATCCCAGCTTCTTAAACAGGTGTTCACAATCCAGTGTATTCAATAGTAATGGAATTATGAATCTTGAAAATGAAAAGAACCCTTTTAGTAATTTTTATGATGCAATTGGAGCTTATCGCCAGAAAATAATCAATCATTGGGTCTCTGAAATAGTGTAAAAAGAATTGCCTTGAATCAACTTGGACTTGCTCTAAGAAAATCTAGGCATTTTGAATCCTTCATCTAGCCCTGCTCGCACGGGTGCTTCCCTCTAACCAGAAAGCTTCCTTACCGATGCGTTTTTACATCCCAAAGCTTTAGCAGATCGCTTAGCCTCATTCATCTTCGGCATTCTTTTTGGAAGTTTTCGGTCTTTGGGCAATTAAGGGATGAAAGATAAGCAGACATGTGATGTGAGTGTTGTGTCTCTTCCATCTGCTGAGGAAACAACAAAAGGTTCAAGAGTCCTTATGCTGTGCCTGTCTTGCGTCCTCTTGAAAAAGAAAGATCTCGGCGTACGTGTGTTTACAAACTTGCCATCAACAAGATCATGGTTTTCCAGAATTAGTGGAAGACTAACTTACAATTAGAGTGTCTAGAGCTTGTCTTCTTTCGTCAATCGATCCATATCTCCGTGAACAATCTAGTGCTCGTTTAAAAGAGCGGCTAGACGGGTCTGTCTTATTTTCATAATTAATGGATTTATAAGATAATTGTCTTTCTGGTTCGATAATAAATCTACTTCAAGATTGTTTATGCTCGGGGCTCTGGACAATGAACGTCCGGAGTCTCTTAAGTCTTAAGGAAGGATTAAACCACGATTAGAATGAATCGACTAGAAACTTCAAAAGTGGTTCTGTCAAATCCTGGATGACCTCATCGGAAATTAATAAAGCAATTTAACCATCCCTTCGTGGCAGCCGCTCCTTCTCTACTGGATTGGCCAAGGTGATGAAAGGTTGGAACATGGGCAAGGCTCCACGTTCTACATGACTCCTGTAATCGTAGAATAAATGCATCAACAGGATCTATGTATTGAGAAACTTTACGGGAAGATAAAGATGATGCATTTCATGTACGAGGTATCTTATCTAAGTATATCTATAAAATAAAAAATATAATTCAAAAGTAAAAAAACATATTATAAATAAACAATTAAAATTAAATTATAAATAATAATAAATAAACATGTAATTATCTAACTTATTAGCGCAGCTCCAATGAACGAGGAAAATGAAAAGCCAAATATTTTTTGCTATTTATTTTTCTTCTATTCACATTCCAACCGAAGAGCTAAATAAATAGCCAAAATGGCTATTTATTTTCTTAACGGTCATTTCTACATTTAACTATAGAAATGGCTAAAATAATAGCTGTTGGCCAACGACTATTTTTATAGCCGTTGGCCAACAATTTTTTAAAAAACATATAGAAGAAATCTTTTATAAATACATGAAGAAAAAACTTGTAGTTTTAAATTTTTGTATTGTGCC